CGCATACGGCACGCCTCGAAAACCGCCGCAAGAGGATTGTCACCTGCTTATCTGCCGACGTGCATCGTCGCAGCGTCGCGTGTATGTGAGAGAGACGAGCGCCTAGTGACGGCCTTCAAAACAATGTCCGCTCGAATATCGATGCCGCTGCCCTTCGGGCAAACGCGTTAATAACGCTCGCACGAGTACCGAGCGAGTGTATGTGTGTGTGTGTGTGTGTGTTGGCCGGTTGACTGAATGCATGCGTTCAGCAGAAGCTGTAATTATATTGCGAATACTTGGGCTACTCGCCGAGTATCGTCATGCGCGTCTTTCGTTACACGTGTCTTGCGTGTACATTGTTTCTTTTAGCTACGTTATACTCGATAGGCTGCGGACTGCGAACGGCTCGAGGAGACAACGAACAAATTTGTAGAGGGAGCCAAGAGCTCGGGATAACGGAATTTTCGGGCAAACGAGCATCCGGAAGGACACAGTTGACCGGCTTTTGTCGCTTTTGGATACGCGTTGCAAGAACGTGCGCCGCTCTGGCAGGCGAAATCCGCCCTGAGACGCAGCTCGACGAGAGAGTTCATTGTTCGCAGCACACACATTTCGACTCGGGGAACACGTTTACAGAAATGTATTCATCTCGTGCGACCTCGCGCGATATACTCGACACGTCCTTTCAAGTTCTTTCGTTCCTTTTATATCCGGCTGAAATCGTCCAAACGATAATACGAGTCAGCCTTCCTGATCGCAATCCTTTCTCGGAGCAATTTGTCGAATAATTGGAATAATAATCTTTTCGAGTAATTTGCTCGTAGAGTGAAAACACGAGGACCAACGATACTTTGTAGCACGTGAGGAAGAGAGAAGGGCGATATATATTCTCTCAATTCATTTCGACAACCCCAATCCTTGAGTAATTAGAGCGATCGCTCCAAGGCAGGATGGTGATAACGCGCCAACAAAAATCTATTCATAGTAAGCGTGACTATATCGACGGTTCACGTACACGAGAGAGGGAGAGAGAGAGAGAGAGAGAGAGAGAGAGAGAATTCGCGAGGGAGACTGTTATCCGCCGAACATAATTTGTTTATCTACCACGGTACGCGGCCGTAATCTCGGAATTAACGCGAACAGCTACGCGACGGGACACGGTGGCGGCTGAGAGAACTGGCCTTTCGCAGCGCGTTAAGCCGCACACCGCTGTTAGTCGCGAATTTCAGATACGCGCTTTTATTGGCGACCACGTGGGCACGCGCGGTGGGGGCCAAAAATTGTGTGTGTGTGTGTGTGTGTGTGTGTGGGTATGTCGTTAATATAAGTTAAAATACGAGACCGGAGCGAATTTCGAGCAAGCCAGCGCAAGATCGACAACACGGCCAATGATGGTACGCACAAGCGACAATGGTTCGTGAAATATTTGAAGGACTTGGCGTGGTAACACGACAGAGAGAGAGAGAGAGAGAGAGAGAGAGAGAGAGAGAGAGAGAGAGAGAGAGAGAGATAAATTTTACGAGCTGTACATTTTTGAAAAACGCGTAGCTAAATGGCTGCTAAGATGATTGCCAATAAAAGTCCGTCGTGTGGCTTGTTTCACTCCTTTATTCGATTTTCAACAATCAATTAGGATTGACAGCGATCTTTCGGAACCGTGAGAGATTTACAACGTTTCCCAATTTTTCTTAATGCGAGTAATCCGCCGTATTTGTAAACTGTATTCTCCTGAGCGTTCGTAAAATATATCGCGAGCTGATAACGTTAAGTCGAAAACAACGCTTTCGGGCATTACCTTGATACGCGAAAGGTTAATGTATCACACTCGCCGGAATAAAAACGTTGAAATATCTGATGGAGATAATGATCGTCAAGTACCGATACGAATCGATGCGGCAAACGCGAGAGCGTCTCTCGCGCGGTGTTCCGTTTCGACGGTGATTTTACACACGCGCTCTAAACAGAGACGTACTCAGACAAGAACAGCGATGAGACTCCTCCTCGACGTTTATCTCACCGCATTATTTAGATCTGCCGGCTCTCGATTACTTCTCTAACTTGTCACGGCACCGCATCGCGCCTGCGCCTCTATAACGCGCCGGGATAAACAAGAAGGATTACACTGAATCGTTATTCTTTAGCTCCGCCGTTAATTGCCGACTTCTTAATTACGACCGAGAGTTCGGAACGCGTAGTGTGCGCGGGGCGGAAGACGGGGCAAGGGGGGCAAGTGGGAAAAAAATATCCGAGTAAACGGCGAGGCGATAGATACGCGCGACGTGGCGCGGCGCGGCGCGGCGCGGCACCGTCGCGAGGTAAACGTCCCCCGTGCGCGGTCACGAGCGTCGCTTTCCGTCGTCGCTGAGCGTTTTGAAACGCACCTTATGGCGCGCCTTATTAAGATGCAAATGTCATGTCGGGCTTTCGTAACGCCGACGGAATATATCCGCGAGTGCGCGAAGGCGTCCCGGCGGCGACGGTGTAATAACGTCGACGCGGATAAATAACGCGAAGGAAACTCGAAGAGAGGTCGACGCCGTCGTCGACGTTTCGGGCGAGAGAACCACGCTCCGTTTCGCTCGTTGTTCTCGAAAGCGGCAACAAGAGGGAAAAAGGTAGGCAGAAGGAAAAGAGAGAATGAGCGCGCGCGCGCACGCTCGATTATCTCGGGAATTTCGATACGCTGTAGTGGATTTCGAGCGCTTTTTATCGCTGGAAGTTTTTGGCGTCTAACGCGGCAAAACAATGTATACACACGGACCGTCATCACCTTATCCTACCTCGCACCGGGGCTTAACTCTTATCGTTATCTCGGTATAGCGCTGTCTCAAAGCCATTGCTACCGTATTACCAACGACGCCCTATATTTAGACGCATGTAATGCGTCGACGAATTTCTCTCTCTCTCTCTCTCTCTCTCTCTCTCTCTCTCTCTCTCTCTCTCTCTCTCTCACGCACCTTTTTCTTTTTACGCGCGAGGCGATGCGTGAAAATTCTTTTCCACACCGCGCGATATCGGCAATCTCTCTCTCTCTCTCTCTCTCTCTCTCTCTCTCTCTTTCTCTCTGTCGTTATTGCGCGAGGTGTCCCTTAAGAGACGGCCGCGCACGTGCACACCCGTCTCCGTTATCTCGATTGAGAATTTTAATTAACGCGTAATCCTATTGTCCCGAAGCCCAGCTGTGACCGTACGCATAATGCTAACGCGAAAATAACCACGGCGGCTATCTAACAGCTATCTAACGGTGCAGCGCGCGCGGGCGCCGATAGCCTTCAATCTAAATGTGCTGAATTCGTTTGCATCAGTTCACCATAAGCAAACGAGTACGATAACATTTTTATTGCCCCGTCTCGCCCGTCGCCTCGGACTTAACACACTGCTGCGCGCGCGCGGACCCGCTTGTATTTTTAGAAAACACGGGAAAAAGGAACACGGTTCGAGCCCACGGAGATACACATTTTTCACCTTCTTTTCCCTCCCCTCCCTCTCTCTCTCTCTCTTTCTTTTCTTCTCTTTTTACTGCGCGCGGAATCGGAGAAGAACCAACTTGCGCGCAAACGTGCGAGTGACAGCGACCACGGTTCAATACACGCATCTCGTTACGTAACGCTCGCTCCGCTGTGACAATTAGTTCGATATAAAGTGGAACAATGTTACCTCACGCTGGATAAATAACGGACGGAAGGTTCGCGCACGACAAGCTCAGATGTATCGTAAAACTCTCCAGCGGCGAGGCGACGCTTAATTTCCTGCGCGAGTACATGCGTGTCGGAGATCGTCGAGTTTGTCCGTCGAAAACACGCGGAAACGCACACTCGGAGCAAACGGTACGCTATCCGAGACCTTCGACAGAGAGAGAGAGAGAGAGAGAGAGGGGGGGAGAGGGGAGAGAGAGAGAGAGAGAGAGAGAGAGAGAGAGAAATACGAAGACATGGACCTACGTGCACGCAGTCCCGGCAGGCAGGACGGCGAAATGGTATGTTTTAAAAGGTCCAAATCGCTTCACGGCATGCGGCCCCGCAGGCTCTCGGGTTACCTACGCGTGTCCTTGAGGGGACCTGCCTCAGGTGAGCCGCTCAGGGGAAAGAAAAAAATAGGAAGAAGGGAAAGAGGGAAGAAACGCTCGCGCGAGAGAGTCTTCCGCTCGTCGTCGTTGTCGGCCTAGAAGAACCGCGCGTATATAACCGGGACCCTAGCTCTCTCGTGCTCTTTCTTCCTCTCTCGCTCAACGGCAATCCTAAAAATAAGTCCCACGGCGAATAGGTAGGGTCCTGCTGCCTATCGTCGACGCCTAAGAAGCGCGGATCTATCGTGCGCTTGTATGTGGACGGAGAAACGCGGAGGAACGGAGTCGCGCCGTGACTCGTGCGAACGCCCGAAAATCGCTCCAGGACATTCTCTCACGGAAGAATCGCGCGCGATTCCAGGACGAAACCGCGACGTTCCCGCGCAAGGACCACGTCCAGCGGAAGCTGAACGTACGTAAAGCGGAGCATTAGCCAGCCGACAAAATGTACATTTCGCTCTTCCATATTTTATCTGTCAAACGCTCGGAACGCGATAGCAATCGCTGCGTGAACGTCGAGTGACGCACGGAGAGGAAGGACCGGTTCAATTGACGAGCAAAATGCGCTTCGACCGAAGGAGACAAACTTTCTGGCGGACAAGAGACAAGATTTCGTTCATGAGGCCTCCTGCCGGGTGCGCGCCGCGGCCATGTTGGATATGATGACATCAGAGGTGAGAAGTGACAAGAGCTGGAAACTGTTGCGTGTCATTCTCAGATAAAACGATACTTTTGCGAAAAGATATCTTTAGATCGCTACAGCACTTGTAAAATGTCCCGAGTATTATGCTTCCCCCTTAACAGTCAATCAACGATCATCCGTTGATGAAGAGCCGTAAAAGGGGCAGAGAAATTTCGTCAACTCTCTCCCAAGCGGTCTTTCCCCGCCGTGCGAGTTCGCGTGCTGAACGCGAACTGTGATAATTCGCTGTGTGATAATGGGGGGACTCACCTGTTTTGAAAATACGGCGATATCCTCGTTGAAGCTCTCGGACGAACAGACATCTCCGCCAGCTACACCAGGTTCGCGTGGTGTACACGTCGCCAGTTCGCACTTTTCGAATATGAGCGCGAGCAGCGGGAACAGGGGATGTCTGAAAGAAAAAACGAGAGAACGCGTTTTTAATGATAATTACGCCATTACGTACAGACGAGTACACGCTACAGGCAAGAGCAAACGGCGACGGTGCCGGTCTCCGGAGCGCGGACATGCTAATTAACGATCGGCGATCTTTCGGGCAGAACACCTCCCCCTCCGCCCACAAGCCCGTCCCGATTCGTTCTCGCGACAAGTCGATAAATTATCCTTCGACGCTCTCGCGTCGTTACGCAAGCCGTCTCTCTCGACGCTTGCGAAAGGAGGCGCGCACGTTGCGAAAATCTCGAGCGAGACGCAGCTCGCGTTCTCCATGTAATTAATCGATATTGGTAATTAGCGAACGCCGCACGAGCGTGCGCGGTAACGCGTCCGAGAAAGGGAGAAGTTATCGACGCGATAACGGCTCTGTCTCTGTCTCCGTCTCCCTCCCTCCCTCCCTCTCTCTCTCTCTCTCTCTCTCTCTCTCTCTCTCTCTCTCTCTCTCTCTCTCTCCCATCGCGACGAAAGTCCGCAGAGGGACATCGCGCTGAATCCGCGCGCCGCGGAGGAGACAGTCCCCTCTCGCTCGAGGGTCGGCTGACGCGTCCGTAAACAACGTTTCTCGAATCGCCAAGGCGTGGTCCGCGCGAAAGAACGATCCGGATCGGCACAATGTCCCGTTCGCGCGCGCGCGAGCGAGAGCGCGCGGCGGTAGACCGAGCGAGCGAGTGCGTTTTTCTCTTATCCGCGCGCGACTTCTTCTCTTATCCGCGCGTGACCGACGAGCTGGGCCGCCTGTTAGCGCTACGAGGACGCAATTAAAGCAGACAACCGTGCGGTGTAGAAGAAGCGAAATCCAGCGTGAAGCGCTTAACCGAAAAGCAGGCGATGACCGGCGGAGGAGGACTCTTCTTTCCGCAGCAAATGGGAAAAATATTTCCTGCGTCTCGCTCGCTTCCCCGAGACTGTTCGCGCGCGGACGAGCGCAAACGCTGCGATTTGCTCTCCCCTCCCTTCCTGTCGCGCAGAGAAAAAGAAGAAAAATGCAGAAATATATGAAAAGGAAGAAAAAAAGGGGAAAAAAAAAGACACGAGCGCGAGCCTAAGGAACGCCAATTACTTCCGAGTTATTGTGCGGCGCGGCACACGACGACGCGTCGCGTTTCTTTCTTCTCTCCACGGTCCAAGATGTTAATTGCGCGCATTTACATGCGTCTTCATTATCGTTGTAATTATACGTTTCTAGCGATACCGCGTACATATGTGAGACGTCAACGACTCGAACTTCTCTGTCGAAGACTAAGTCGGTATTAACTTCTCTTTGCCTCGCACGATCGCGCATGCAATCTGGTATTTTATATCGTCCGCACAAACGAGAGACCGGAGGACGCAAAAAAGCCTCTACGCTGCTTTTAACTCTTATTTTTCTCGCCGAGTTACTTCTCCGGAGTAACGTTACATCCAAGGCACTCGACTACTCCTACGAGTCATCTCTATTTCTTTTGCTCTCTCTCTCTCTCTCTCTCTCTCTCTCTCTCTCTCTCTCTCTCTCTCTCTCTCTCCCTCGCTTGCTCGCGCGCTCACTCGATTCTGCTTATTTTGTCCGCCGGCGCAAAGCGATATACATATACACGCGAACAAATTGAATAATGACGGAGAATAATCGATAATACAAAGCGCGTCTCTCTCTCTCTCTCTCTCTCTCTCTCCTCCTCTCTTTCTTTCTGTCCTTTTCGCGGCGAAGAGCAACCGCGGAATAAAACACGGGACAGCGTTCGCTGGAAAACCGCAAATTCGATGGGTGGAGTGCGCTAAATAATAAACGGACAGCTGCGAATCATTTTTACTTTCCTTCGCGTCGCGGTCTCGCGCGGGCGGGCGAATCGTATCGATCGCACGACAAATCGAATCGATCGTGTCTAGAGACACGAGTCGCGAGTCGCCCGACCGCCATTGTTCGTCGGAATACAGGCCGCCGTTCGAGGAACATTGACGCTCGTGCGTTCTTTTTCAAGCTGTAGGCGGGACAAGTGGTGGTGGTAGAACGACGCGTCGCGGCAAATACTTGTATGACGATCGGATTGTACCGATAAATGAAAAATAACAAAAAGAAAATTAAATTTCTTAACGTCAATTGATCTGAAACGTAGGAGTCGATGGAAATGTGTCGCGCGCGCGCACACACACACACACACACACACACACACACACACACACACACACACACCGAGTGAGAAACCGAGGCGGACTCGAATTCGAACGGCACGCGAACGCGCGGAAATCCGCCTTCGGATTCGAGCCGGTCTAGCTCGTAGAGTAGCGCGTTAGATATTACGAATTCTCTCAGAATCTGTCCGAAACGCGCGCAGAGCGAGGAGATTGTTGCACCGCTCGATACTCCTCTGAGCGTACACACCCGCGTGTTACACACAGCACCAGCGCATACCGGCGCGGCATTAGGGGGATAAGATAAGATTAGGCGATGCTGTTGCAACAACGTTGCGAGCGAGGCCTTAATATCGAGGTTTGAAGCTGGCGGGACTCTGCATGTTCTGGAAACAATTATTTACGCGTGCCGTGTAACGTACGACTACCTATCGTGTGTGTTTGCGCGTGCGCGTGCGCGCGCGCGCGCGCGCGTGTGTTTGTATTGTGTGACGTGTAAAGGCGCGAGGAATTTTTCGCGAGTGTTTCGTCTCTCGGCGATCCGTATTAAAACGTTTACGCCACATTGTCGAGCTGTTCGCACGCATGAAATTTAACATGCTTCGCGTAAGATATGCGGAAGACGCGGGTGTATTTATAGACGGCCATGCAAATTGCCATCCACGTCATCTTGAAGTTAAACGAAGCTTACATCAACTTCTAATTTGCGTCCATGTGTCATTAACATTCACGTCGGAATTTGTTAAGTGTATTCAGCCGTATGTAAATTACCGTCTTAGAGATAGTTGGACAAGAGATGACGGGCATCTACATGTAATCTAAATGCAATCGGCGAGATAATTTTCCGCGGGAAACAACGCGTTTTCGTCATTCGTATGCGGTGCGGTTCAGGGCAATCTGCCCACGAATCGCCGGACGATGTTTAAACAAAGTAGTTAAGACTCGATGCGTCAAACGGAGCTGAAGGGAAAGAGAAAACGAGCGAATGAAAATATAGCCGGCGTTTCGACTAACGCGAGTTTCCACCGACGAGAGATAACGTGGAATCCCGAGGATAAAGGCGATACCCCGCCGTTACGCTTTCCGCAACGAAGTCGACGACGGCCGACGAGGCCGACGAGGCCGACGAGACCGACACAGCGGACGAATCGCGCTGGAAAAAGATCGGGATAAAAATAGATCGATTCTGCGGCAGACCCGGAACGTTCGGCGAATCCCGTTAACGGGCGATCATCGCGACGCGAATTCCCGGCGCTCACGCACGCTCTCTCGTCTCCGGACACGTCGCGGCTTATATACAATTTCAAAGACGGCGATGAAACCCTAGAGAGGGTCTCCTCTCTCTCTCTCTCTCTCTCTCTCTCTCTCTCTCTCTCTCTCTCTCTCTCTCTCCTCTCTCTCTCTCTCTCTCTCTCTCTCTCTCTCTCTCTCTCTCTCTCTCTCTCTCTCTCTCTCTCTCTCTCTCTCTCTCTCCCTCTTCGTTCGGAACCGATCCGTGGAGGAGGTTCGACGGCCGGCCGGCCAGCCGGCTGGCTGCGAAGCTCCATGGTAGCCGGCGAGGTGGAGGCGTTGTGTGCGCATGGTAGCGGGTTCGCGCGTCTCGCGAACGGCGTGGCGGACATAAAACGATTCGGAACGAATTTCGACAAATTGACGCGGCCGCCGCGAGCGACGACTCCCGCGCGAAACATCTAAGCGAGCTTGACCGAGCTGTGAACCCGAGCCGAGCACAGAACCGAAGCCGAGGGAGGTGGTGTGCGCTACTACCACCGACCGGACGAAAAAAGAAAAATATTCCCCCCCACCGCTCTCCTCCGCCCGCTCGTCGTCCCTTGCGACGACCCTTCGTCTCCGCACCGCCGTCACCGCGTAGGTCCTTTTCCCCGCTTGCTCCTTCCCCCTGGCTGTATCTCTCTACCTACGTCCTCTACCTACGTGGCCACGTCGTCCACGACGACGGATAATCGATTTAACGCCACGTGGCGCGGTAATTGTTAATTTTCCATCCTCCGGTCGCGCGGAAAGAGAGACAAAGAGAAAAATCGCGCCTCGCGGTCGCGATTTTACGCTCCCAATGTGCTCCCAATGAATCCCGAAGACGAGCTGCGGACGCGATTCACGAACTGGCCGCGCAAAGTCGCCCGTCCTCGCGCGGAGAGAGCGCGATGATCGCGCGGCGGCATTCTCTCTCCTCCTCGGAGCCGCGACGAGGCCAGCCGACCGCCATCTGTGCAGTTTCCCGTTTTATATGCGGTCAGGAAAACCGCCGAGAGCGCGTTGCGTTAGCGCGCGCGCGCTTCTTCAAAGACTGTCGGCGCAACAACAAAGTGCAATGTCGATGACAAACGGCGGGCAAGAACGAGGTGTCAGAGTGACGGGACCGCAGAAGGTAATGATATGATTGGGCCGTTGGACGCCGTACGGGGGATGTTTGCGGTTTTGCGGTTTCCGCCCCTCGAATCGGCGCGCCTCCTCTTTCTCTCTTTCTCCCCTTTTTGCCTCCCCCGCGAGATCCCTTTTTGTCCTTCTCCCTTCTCCCTCCGCACACCGTCTCGCTCTTTCTCTTTGCCGGCTCTTATTATTGCGCGCGCGCGCACGCGGGCGTCGCCAATTTCACGCCGCGCCGCAGTTTACGATTCGCTAAACGACAGCGACGCGTTTTTGCGCGCACGACTTTATCTCGTTGGCGGCGCCTCGATTTCCCGTCTTTCAATATCCTCGCGAACGAAGCGCGGACCATAATCGCAATAGCGCACGCCCGAGTAATTGTAACGGTCGCGCACGAAACGCGAGTCATCGGAATCGAAAGGTCGGTGGGATGAGAGAGGAAGAGAAAGAGAGAGAGAGAGAGGGAGGGAGGGAGAGAGAGAGAGAGAGAGAGAGATCCAGCGGAAGAGCGCCAAGAGGGCAAAAATGAGTGCGTAATTGCTCCGATTTACCGTTGCGTACAAACGCTGACAATTACACGGCACTCAAACTAATGGGCTAATTTCAGCGAAGCACGTCGCTCGCTTCACGTCGGATCGCGCGAATCGATCAATCCGACGGTGCTTGTCGATCAGCTTGTGCCACGTCGTCCGGCGCGAATGGGAGTTTTACGCGAGCGGGCGATATACGCGTCCTAAAATTTCGGCTATAAAGACGAGTGAGTGAATCTTACGACGCGATTACGTCAAGTTCCCAAGTGCCATTCTCCCCATCCCTCTCCCCGGCCCTCCTTCTTCACCCCTTGGCGGCAGTAACACCGCCCCGAGCTGCACGGAGCTGCGAACGACGATCGTGATAAAATGCCGCGGCGTGCGTAATTTTTACAACGCCCCGCAGATATTACTCCGCGCTCGAAAGAGAGAGAGAGAGAGAGAGAGAGAGGGGAGGGGGGGAGGGAACTACTGAAGAAAGAAGCGCGTGATGTTCGTGAATTTCTACTCTTCTTGCGAGGTGTCCGCGATGCGAAGACGACGGTGACTATCCGCATTCCTCTCGCGCAAGAAGTCGCGAGTTGTATCAATTAAATCAACGGCCGTGGAGAAACAACGCTCGGTCCGTAGATTATTATTATTTCACCAAGCGGCAGACAGGCAGGCAGACTACTGAGATAATCGGATATTAAATAATTCCCGGGTGCTTCCTCGAGTCTAAAAACAGCGACGCTAGCCATCTGCGGCGTGAAAAAGAAAATAATTCGTTGTATCTAGAGGCTTTCCATCTCGCGCGTGCCTTTAAGACGCCGATGGAATTTGCAGAGTTTAGTAAAACGGTGTTAAAATTACGAATATAATCTCGATTACGAATATAATGCTTACGAATATAATGCTAAATAAAACACGAAATACACGTTATTATCCGAATGATAACGCTGGGTGTGCGTTGGAAGCTTGTTACGATAAAATGTCTCTCTCATCAAGGGTTCTCTTTGCTGATGAGAATCTACGAACGAAAAATCCGCACCCGATCGTGGGGTACTTATTTTGTAAAAATACAGCACTCTCAGCGATGAGAGGCACAGACCTACGCGCGTTCGCGCATCGATGCGGCAGCGACGCGGTGTAAAAATCATCTTATTGAAATGTCTCGAAGCGTCCCTGACTTTTTCTCTATTTACAGCTCGTCTCGCGCCCGATGCGCCGACATCAATCTTCCCGCGCGGTGGAAAGCTCGACGCGACGGACCGATAGACGAATTAATCGATCCGCGGATGAAGCGCGGGACAAAAATGGTCACGTGGCCTTCCCATCGCCATCGGACGACTCAATCCGCGCGCATTCCGCAAAATTCGGGATACGAGCATAAATATTCGCTCAGCGTCGCGGTTTCTCTTTTAGCGCGGCGGCAGGAAAAAAGCCGCACGCGATGAGGTCGTAGGTGTTTCCGGGAACAACCCCAGAGCAACAGAGAGAGAGAGAGAGAGAGAGGGAGAGAGAGAGAGAGAGAGAGAGAGAGAGAACATAAGATTACGCGTTTCCGAAGATCCCAGATTTTTTATCGCGTGCGACAACGAGCGAGACTCCTCGATTGTGCCTTTTCCGAACGGCGCGAGAGCTGATCCTCTCGACGCGTCAAAGTGACCACAAGTCTACAAGATACCGCTATGCGACTGAAACGGGCTGACGGACGAACGGAAGAGGAGGAGAGTCCTCCACAGAGAGTCCTTCTTTCTCTTCGGCACGCCGAAACCGCTTCTCTCCGTCTCTCTTTCTCTCTGCGGCGGCGTTCCGAGAAAGCCCCGTGGAAGAATCTCCTTTCCTCGGGGTCGGGGGCCGGGGCACACGACGAATGGACAAATTACAGGGTGCACGGGATAATGAGACTCCCGTTCTAGGACCCGTTCAGTACACCAGAAATCGGGGCATCTCTCGCGGCTATAAATCACGCGGAACACGGCCGAGCCGCTCTCCGTAAAACGGCCAATTGACGTGTCTCGAGAGCTCGCTCGCGCGCGCGCGCGCGCGCGGCCGATGATGCGCGTGCCACGAAAGCGTGCACGGCTGCTGCGAGAGCGAGCGCGATGACGCGAAGAGGAGAACAATGCGGCAACAACGTTAACGTTCGACGACGAGATGTAAGAATAATGATGCGACGCGCGAGGAACACAAGGAGAGACGCCGATGCGCCCGTGCGGAGAGACACGCGGTCACTGCGTCACTGCGTTATGTATTACCTGTCCATCACGTGTGCACTTTGTGCGGGGGAATTCGGGCTAACACGGTGTGTGCATCCGGGGAGAGCCCAAGCGTCATTTCACAGCCTCCTCTTTAATGAGGAAGCTTGCGGCGCTAGCATACGCGTTGCGACGTACGCGAGGAAAAGAGCGGAAGGTATCCTGTCGGTCGGTGAAAATTATAACGGACAGATAGAAAGCCAAGGCAAGCGAGCTTACTGGGAGTGTTTTCCGAGCCCCGCACCAAGTGCGGGGAAGAGAGACGAATATGTAATTCGTGAAATTGCCGGTGTTACAAGCCGTCTACAAAGGATACTGACGGCGTCAGGCGGAGGAAGCTCTCGCGCGGACAATACGCCTTTCGAAATGTGTATCATTGATCCCAAAACACACATTGCGTCGAAACCCCTATCATAAGGGATTTACTACGTGCTAATTTTCTAAAGTAGAAACAAGACTCCACAGAGTCGTGAAAAGCAGTACCCAGTTGTTTGGAAAAGTCCACCATCAACGAAACGAAGGAAAATTACGATGCGTGCGATCGCGATCCTGATAACGTTTCGCTCGAGTACCAATTTCAACATACGCACACACACACAGAGAGAGAGAGAGAGAGAGAGAGAGAGAGAGAGAGAGAGAGAGAGAGAGAGAGAGAGAGAGAGAGAGAGAGAGAGAGAGAGAGAGAGAGGAGAAAACGCTTTATTTTTCTTTTATCGATATTTTAAAATTGCCACGTGTTAAAATTCGCTCTCCGATATTTTCCGACTACGATCCGCTCCTCAGTCGCTCAGTCGCTCAGTTCACAATTTACGCGCACAAACGCTAGGTCGAGATTTTAGACGAGAAAAGTTGGAATATGCGCTAAAAACGAAAAGAAGTCTGTGAAAAATGATATAGCGAGAATACCTCTTCAAACATGTCGATAAAAGGCATCACGACATATTACCGTCGCGGAAGAACAGAAAATATCGTTGAAGCGGCAACAGCTCGTTGAAACGTGGTTATCTGTCGAGTTAACCATATGGTAATGGTATTCCGTTCGACTTCGCCGTGTATCGCAAAAACGATATCGCACGTGATACGAAAAACTGAGCGCGCGCTGCTCTTCGAAATGTAACGCGTCACATTATCGTCATATTCGGAATTGAGGATCCTAATGGCGCATTATATGGCCAAGTACACATCGATACTTTCCGTTGGACATTTTTCCATAATTTAGCAGCGAGATCGCTTGACACTTTCTTACCAATAATACGTACGTGACTTTGGTAATTATAGGACGCGACAAATATTTCGACTCGCTCGAAGCAGAATACAATCGATATCGGTCGTGACGGGACGGACGGAAGTCCTGTAGTTGAAGGTAACGATTTCGCAGCGTTTCCTCCCCCCGCGGACTGATTCAGCAAGGATGACTTTTGCTACGTTGATATTTCGTCAGCCGAGTGCCGACGGGGGAGTGTCGATGCTCGCATTCGCGACCGGGCAATTCCGTTAACGTCGCAGCAAGAGGGAGAAGGAGAGAAAAGAAGGTCCCCGTCTCTCGGCGCGCCTCCTTTCGAAAGCGCGGGAAGAAATCGGAGCGAACTGACGATGTCCGTTACGGGCACGCGAGTTGAGGCAGGTCGTGCGCGCGCAGGCCGACTCAGAAAATCAAATGGCCACGACGAATTTATGTGCATTTCAAGTTCGTCCCGCGACGGCCGCTCTCGCACCTGCTTCGACGGCGCGCGAGAAACGCGTCCGAGTATCCCGGGCAGCGCTCTTGACTCGTGAGAAACGGAGGAACGTTTATCACGAAAGCGACCGGGGCCTACGGCTATACGCGTCCGAGATACGAGCGGAATACGAGCGGGTCGTCGCCGAGCGGACGACGATGACGACCGATTACCATATTAATCGCGCCGGCGCGATTAGACGTAATCGCGCCGGCGCACTTATATTCAAACACATGTAAAATTATGTCGCGCAAATTGGTGGACCATCGTGGCCGTCACGGACGAAAGCGCGTGCAAGTAATCTCGCGATAAGCTGCGCCTCGTTATCGTCAGCGTAATATTACTTATTCGCTCGTTCCGCCATTCGACGATCCGCGAGCGAGCATAACAGAGAGAGAGAGAGAGAGAGAGGGGGGGGATTTATTTCACTCACCCGTATATGGCGTCCTTGTCGCGCTTGTGAACATCCGGGACCGCGGAGGCCGCGGCCGCAGCTGCCGCCGCGAGAACGTGCTGGGGCGGCTGAGGCGGGGGCGGTGGGTACTGGGGGTGAGCCGGACCCATTCCCCCGAGGTGTGGACTGTGATGAAGACCGGGTACACCGCGGGCACTACCGTGTGGGTCGTAGAGCCCTGCGCCACCACCGCCACCTCCGCCCTCGAGGTAACCCCCGTGCAGCCCGCCATCATCGTACTGCAATCATAAATATCATGTGCTTATTAACTTCATGCAAATGTGATATATACATTTATGTATTGGTTCGGCTAGTAAATTACTCTCGAGCGGCGCGAACACGACGAATATTTCTTTTTTCGGCTCTCTTTCAATGTTTCTTTTTCGCTGGCACACCCACGCGCAGAAGAAATCGTTTAATTAATCCGAGAAAGCGATTAACATAAGAAACGTAAGATCGGACATACTTTGTGGATTGTATTTTATACGGTATTTGAAGAAACGAAAGAAACGCGAAAGAATTATTCATGACTATCGGGTGTACGTTTTTTGGTCGTGCCCCCAAATAAATGTTTGTTGCTCGCTCGAAGTTAAAGAATGTCAAACTTCTCCGACACGCGTACGTATCTCAATGAAATATCTGAAATTTTTAAACGTATGCAACCAGGTTTATATATTTATATTAATGTCTCTTTTCTTGTAGTGATATGACACACACACACACACACACACACACACACACACACACACACAGAGTGTGTCTAAACATTACCAACCAACTTATAAGATACTCTATATTCAAAACTAAGTAAAAAAAAAAGTTTTAATAAACACACGTCCGCAAAAACTTGACTTTTGCAATATAGTCAGAGATGATAAAAATAAAAGAAAATATCTCGCGATAAGCGAACGCTAATGCAATACTTTTTGACATGTTTTTCAAAATAATGCCTATCAATTTTGATAATTTCTGATTATTAACCAAAGAATCATTCATGGTGTGATATTTGTCGCGAATGAAATTAGAAAAAAAAAAACATATTTCTTCATGCCTATATTTATTTATTTGTAAAACACGATTTAATATGTGAATAAAATTTATATGTATATATATATTTTTTTGAACCAAGATTACGGCAACTGTATTTCAGAAACTAAGCGTCCAAGAGGTTACATATTTACCAACACTTTCTTATTTATTTTTTCACGCAAAATCCATTTTGTGAGTTTACGATGGAATTCAGATATAATGCGTATATCTATGCGTATATCGACAATGTCGCGAGAATGCGCTCTCGACTGAATAAGTATTGCCCCGTGTGAGTTATCAGCGGCTAATATGAAACGCGCTTTCCCCAATTATAATCCAGCCGAGTCTACTGAATATCGCGATGCTCTGACTTCATTCTCATTTAAATATAGGCACCGCCGTTCTCGGCTTTAGCTCATAAATTTTTAATCGCGCGCGTTTATAACGACTGACGTAAAGACACAGAGACGAAGGCGCGCACGTGAAGACGCGGGGCGCTCGAAAGGTGACACCGCCGTGGCGAGAATGTCACGTCTTTTTTTAAGTAAACTCGCAACAATGCAAAAAGTTCCGCGGACTTCGTGGGACGAGCATCAGCTGGCGCATCTAAGGACACCGCGTTCTAAAACCGGATGCACGATATAGCGTCATCGCGGTCTGCGGTCTTCGTGCGCGCACGCTCGCGCGAGATGCAATTAGATTTCGAAAATGTGTACGCGTCATCGGCGCGCATCGGTGAGCTATGGCCGTCAATCACCAGACGTGCGCGATGCAAAGTAACGTTGTCGACAACTAATGTACCTGTAACCTGGACAAACCTGGACAAACCCGCAATAGCGGATAATCCTACTCGTTACATTTCTTCCCCTCGAGGCATTGTTTGCCAGCTTTTTCCAACATCGTCTTGTCGTTTTGACCAAAGCACGAGACAATTCATGGACCAGTCAACGTTCGACTAACAAAACACGAGTCTTCTCGTGCTCGATCAGCAACGCGCTAAGAAGAAACATTATATCGTACTACTTTTTTTTTTCCGCAAATTAATTTCATCAATTTTACCCGAGTTTATCCGAGAAAGTCGAAGCCTTCGCGCGTGATCTTACGGGTTTTTCTCGCTCGCGTCTATACCGCGCGACTTGCCGCCGATTCTCAATATACGACCGCCACCGCCGCCGTCGTCGCCGTCGGGAGGGGGAAAAGAAGTAAGATTTAATCGCCGCGGGAGAGACAATTAATTACGTACCGCCGGTACGACCGGTAATAAATAACCGCGTATTCAATTACGCCTAGCCCCGCCAACGGTCGAGACCTTCCAGAATACCGCAAAAAGGAGCGGGACGCCGACGGGGCCTGTGTGATTTCCAGCAATAAAGTTCTCGCGTCGATGCAAAACTGATGGATGACGGGCAGAAGTGCGCTAATTGCCGGACAAATTCGACGCAATCGCGAGCCCAGAGAGAGAGAGAGAGAAAGGGGGGCGGTTGTGGGAGAGTTAGTCCCACGAATGGAAAACCAGAGAGACTGAAACGATCGTTCGTTCGATCGATCGATCGAGGACGGAAGCAATGATTTTCCCCGAGCCCTCGGCCCGCGCGCCGCTTGTCACGGCGCGTTCACGCGCGCGAACGAAAGCAAGTCGATTATTAGCGCTAATTGCTTAATTCTGACGTCGAGCTCGCCAATTTTGTTACGAAAACAAGAAAGAAGCGGCAGTTATCAGCTGAGAGAGGGAGAGAGAGAGAGAGAGAGACAAAGTGGAAAGAGAAAGAGAAAAATGCGAGAGGAAGTAGATAATGCGCATTCGATATAATCAGGAACGAACGTGATTGCACTGGTTAAGAGGTGACGTTGCAAAAATATCGAGAGCGTCGCCTCGCTTCGCCCAATTCCGATCCATCTTGGCCGCGCAATTCCGTTCCGTGAGAGCAAACAAAGAGGAATCATGGTTGTGACATGACGGGGATCAACGCGAGGCGTATCTCCTCTCGCTTTCTCCCTCACATACGCGTCTCGAAAACGAACGGTTTACGAGTGCATCGTGCAAAAAAGAATACGAAAAGAAAAAAAGAAAGCAATATTAGTCCTCCCGAGTCAATTTCACACTTATAGCACGCACATACTTCGCATCACGAGGGCAAGGAACATCGTGCGCCCGAGAATTGTCAAGGTGCACTGAAATTCATTCGAGCGCGGAGGAGAAGTTGTGCCGACGCAATCCGAAAGAATGCAAGCGCAAAGTCGTTGCGACGACACGACGACGACGCGAAAATATCACAAGTGAGCGAATATATATTTATACACCGAAATCCGTGCGGATCGCGCACGCTTATAATCTCCGACTCGAACGCTGGCGCGTCCACATCGCGGCGCGGGAATCGTGAAAATTACGCGACGGCCCGGTCGAATCGGCCGCTATCGCGTCCGAATTAATCCGATACGCGCGTTAAAGTCGCTGGAACGACACTTGGGAACGAAAGAGCGCGTATACATGGCGTGTCGCTTGAAATTCGACCTTTCCATGCCGCGGCTACGTCCTCGTTTCCGTATCGCAAAAGTGCCGCGATAAAGCCTCGCCGAGGAACCGAAGCGAGTGCTGAATTAATACGCCCGATATCTTCATCGGCGTTCCGCGGATATTTACCGTGCATCCCCGAGGGCTCGATATGTCCCTCGCATTTCTTACACGGACGGCTTTCACGTGCGATAAAGCGCCGATTTCGGCTGTGTCGAGTTGAAAATCCTTTGGAGATCTTTTCTCTCTCTCTCTCTCTCTCTCTCTCTCTCTCTCTCTCTCTCTCCCTCTCTCTCTCCCCCTCTTCTCTTTCTTCTGACATGCGGTGTGTGTGTGTATAGTGCGCGTACATGTTTACGCGCATTGTAAACATTTTATAAAAAGAACCAAGCACTGTTTTCGCATTTCGCGACAACATAAAGATTAACAACGGAGCAACCAACGACACGTTTTATGTGTAAATCGTTTCCCGCTAAAACAATTTTCTGTTACAATAAATAGCGAATATAATAAATCAGCCGACTATCGCGAGTACTTCCATTTTCGAGATTCTTCCGTACGCCCAGTGTTTATTTGCGATGAACGGGCACAACATAAGCGCGATTCTTGCGCGAGAGACAAGAGAGAAAGAGAGAAAGAGGGAGCGCGCGCACGCGCGAACACGTCGCGTCTCTAGAATGTAAGTTTCTCGGCGTGGCGAGGACTGAAAAAGACCGCGGACAATAAATTCACCGTCACGACGGTATGAAGATATCACTCGACGACGGTGCGGAATATCTCGAAGGATAGGCAAGGCGGGCAGGGTGAGTGGTTGGTCCCGAGACGCGCGATCGCACGGGAGAGACTCGAGACGGAAGACGACGATCTGACCGACGACGGAGTTCGTCGTCGTCATCGTCGTGCCCGTCGTCGCCGTCTCCGCGTCAAATGTCGTCGAGCTGACGAGAGGACTTGCGACAAAGCCGGTTCGAAGGAACGCGCGTCCACGAGTGAGTGAGCGAGCGACTCAGCTACATACAATACGATCCTATCCGCTATTTGCGGACAGCCCGGCGCTAATTCGTGACCGAAACGGAGAAGAAGTTACACAGCGCGACGTCGCGACGATGTCGGACGTCACCGAGCCGTTCACGCGCGGCAACGGCCGATGCTTCGACCGCTCGGCGACGACGCTCAAAAAGATATTTGAGAAATCTCTCACGCGCACAGTCGCGGCTATTTTGCCCCTTGTCTCGTTAGGGAGATTCGACTCGCTCGAGATCTCGAGGCACTTTCTTCCCTCCCCTCTCCCCCCCCTGCCCGCTGCGCATCATCGCCACACGAATATGTCACAGTATCGCGCGCATCAACGACCTCCGCTCTCCGAGTAGCGAGTAGCGTCTTTATGAAAATTCATACGAACGCCGCTTAAGTGCCGAATTATGTTGCGCGCTCTGGGGACTCGAGCTTCAAAAATTGAATAATGCATCCCACAGGAGGGTTAAGAGACGGGAAAATCCGTCGACGTTGCTGTCGCGAGGGAAGCGCGGCGATTAATGCAAGACGCGCGCGCGCGAGAGAGAGAGAGAGAGAGAGAGAGAGAGAGAGAATTTCGACGTATGGAAATGACGTTTTTGCGCAAACTGCTCTCACTCTCGCAGACTCGCTTCGATTTCGCGTAGCAGCAACCGGCTCGACGACGGCGGCAGCAGCCGCCGA